GGGAAAAGTAAAAAATAAAAATAAAATCTGATATTAACTGTTATGAATCAGAAACTATTAAAACTTAGAACTCATAATGTTTATCATTACTTAAATACTGTATTTAGTTTTTTGAATTGGCGTTAAAATTTTTTACAAACTATATCTGATTGTTTATAATATTTGTTCATAGTCGTTATTTAACTACGGAATGTAATTGTAATTTGAATTTATATTTCATACATAAAAAAAAAAACAATTTTTGTAAATATATCAATATTAAATACTTTTTAAGTCTTAAATCTGAACTCATTACTATCGTTCATTTGTAATCTTTTCTTGTAAATTAAACAATTGTTGAATAAATAATACATTGCAAGATAAATATAAGAGATAAATTTTTAAAACCACGGGATTTCCAATAAAATTAGAACCAACGCGATCATTAAAGAAAAATTAGACAAACACATACCTACCTACTTTGGATTTTCAAAAATACCGAAGTCTGATGTATCTCACTCAAATACCTGCGCAGGAATCGGCAAAGACCTAGCCCTGCACCTGTCACGAGCGAAAGCGACAGTGATCGCACTATCAAAAACGAAAGAGAACCTAGATGCCCTGACCAAACTCGACCCAACGATCCAAACGGTTTGCGTGAACCTTCGAGACTGGAATATGACCCAAAAAGCCGTCGAAAGCGTACTACCTATTGATCTACTGGTTAACAACGCCGGAGTCGCTTGTCTCAAGCCTTTTGTAAACGCCACTCTGGAGGACTGCGACCTGACGTTCGACGTCAATGTCAAGTCCATCGTCAGCGTGTCGCAGGTCGTTGTCAAAGACATGATCAGGAGGAAGGTTTCGGGAAGTATCGTCAACGTTTCGTCCCAGGCCAGTCACTGTGCGCTCAAGGATCACGCGATCTATTGCGCGTCGAAGGGTGCCGTTGATATGCTGACCAAGTAAGGGTCATTGAGTTATTGGTTGATGAATTGATTGAATTTTCGTTTTTTTTTTTGCATAGGACGATGGCTCTCGAGCTTGGGCCTCACAATATTCGAGTGAATACTGTTAATCCCACGGTGGTGATGACAGAGATGGGAAAACTCGGGTGGAGCGATGCGAACAAGGCCAAAGAGATGCTGAGCAAAATTCCTCTTGGACGCTTTGCGGGTGAGGTTTTTTAAAAAATTTTCGCAAGCGTGAAAATTAATTTGCATCATTTTGATTGTCCTTACTTGTGTGTTTTTAGAAATCAAAGAGGTGAACGATGCTATTGTTTTTCTCCTTAGCGATTACAGTTCTATGACGACGGGGGCTGCTTTTCCGGTTGAAGGTGGATTTCTTGCAGCGTGATTTTATTTTATTTTAGATACATTAGTTTGGTGACGCATTTTAATAGAAATATTTATCTTCCTGCATAGAGGTGAAGAAATTTAAAAAAAAAAAAAAATACTTGTAAATATAATTATGTGGTTATTAAAAAACTAAACTTTTATTCCATGGCTATGTGATTTTTATCGAAATTTCTAGTATTTTATAAAACTATATATACATCAAAGTATTGTGTTTAATTGGTGACGAATTCAAATTCTGAAAAGTCATGGAAATCGTATGACAGTGTTGGAAACGTGCTTACCCCCAATTATGACTACAGCACCTTCAAAATAAACGCAAGAACAAACGCAACGAAAATTACGACAATGAAGAGACATCTTGTCGACCCACACATACCCAAAACTTTTTCTTTTTCCCATTACTCAAGGACTAATAATAGGAAGGATTCATTAAGATGCTATTGAGGTAGCGCTTGCAGACAGAACTATATTATTGTACTGAATGAAAAAAAATTTATATAAATTAATACACAAAGTCGATAAGTGTTGATCGTACTCCTGCGTATATGCAAATCTGGTGTAACTTCGTTTATTCTACATGCTATTAAAAAAAGTAAAAAAAAGAAAGATAAGTATGAAAAATCATATAATACAAAACTATGAACTCAAGTATTGTCAGAATCGATAAAAATCGTTTTTATTTTGAATTATAATTTTTTTTTTTTCTTTTTATTTCAATTCTAAAATTTATTTTATTTACTAAAGAATTTT